CCGCGTGGGGCTAGAGCTCAGTATGTCGCGCGAAATGGCGCCGCAAGTCCGAACACAGCGGAAGCTCTTGCCACACTCACTGCAGTGAAACGCCCGCGGGGGGCGGCGGCAGCGGGCGGTGCTGGGGCCGGGGCGGGGCGGGGACAGGGGGCTGGCAGCTGGGCGTCATCCATGGTGGTGAGGCGTGAGGGCAGTGGCGGCGGGGCTCTCTGGTTATCATGTGCTGGCGGGTTACTTCCGGCTCCGGGCCAGCGAGGGCGCGGGCGTGAGCGAGGACCCAGCGCGGGGCCCTAGTCCAGCGGTTCTCAACCTTGGCTGCACATTAGAATCACCTGGGAATCTTTTTAAAATCCTGATTTTCGGGCCTCATCCTCTGGAAATTCTGTTTCTTTGTTACTAATGTTGTGGGCCCACCCCATAACAAAGAGGGACTGCCCTAGTCCCTCCTAAACGACGACCCTGAGACCAGAGAAGGGAGACCCTTACTCATGAAAACAAAAACAAAGCATAAAGCCCAGGGCTTTTCAGAAGGGTTCCTGAATTAAACTGAAGGCCAGAAAACACTGGAGTCCATGACCAAGATATTCACGGTGGGCAATGACCCAGAATTCTCAGGTTCCCAAATTCGGTGAGAGTGACATTGACAGATGGGTGCTCTCGGCCCAATTAGCACAGCTTCCAGGGGTCTGTGGCCAAGCTGACTGCCTACCCACAGCTACCCCTGCGCCTCCATCTCCCAGACGCTGCTGGGTTCCTGGCTGCCCAGTCTGGATGTGATCCTGAGACAGAATTCCAGCCGAGAGGTTAAGAAGTATCTTGTGTTAAATTAATACGGCTGCTGAAAAAGAAATGTGATGCAGCTCTCCTCCTTCCTGCTGCTGGCGTTCCAGAAGCTTTCCTGGACGATGACCATACCTTAGAGATGGCACAAAGGTGAACAGAAAGAAATTCAAGAATCTGACGCACACTGGAGCCACCACACAGTCCGGGCACATTTCTCACAAGGTGGAAATCTTTTTATTATGTTTAAGCCTGAAGCCAATGAAATCTTTCAACCTTGTTCACCTGTGGGCGCGGCATCTGTTGCAGCGGTGGAGGCTCCCGTTCCTGCGCAGCTCGCTCCCCTCGGCCTCCCCATCAGATCTGAGTTCCCCCGCCAGTGGCTTTACTCACTGCGGCCACCCAGCTCATCGGAGCCAAGATGGATTTGAGGATCCCAGAAACGTGTAAATAGGAAGCCATTAGAAGGCTTTTGACCCTTAAAACTAGCAAAACTTAATGACTTCAGGACTGAAAATTTCCTGATATCTAAGTAGAAAGACCAGGATACTAAGCCTTTCAGCATTGCTAGCACCTGCCTGATTGCCCTGCAGCTTATCTGAATGCATCCTGTCTTGTGCCTGCTGCCGAGCATGCTAGTGCTTCCTCCGCACATTTGAAAGACGTGTTGGCTGACCTGATACCTAAGGAACAGGCCGAGTTAAGACTTCAGGCAACAACATGGAAAGACAGCGGTGGCCAAACACTGTGGACACGCTGTATGGGGGCATGAGAGGCGTTGGTGTATGAAACATCAGCTCTTGGTCCTGATGAGTTGTACATTCTTACTCTTCTCCTTCAAGAGCACCTGTTTCCGTGGCTACAGTATCCCTGAATGTCAGAAACTGCTGCCCAGGGCTAAGGGTGGGGAAGAACCCCTGCTGGAGGGCTTATTTTGGCTGCTGGACAAAATCCCAACAGAGGAACGAGTGTCTTGGCTCTCAAAGGAGTGGGCTCTACTTCCCAGGTGGTCACCTGCTGGACAACTTTCCCACCATCTACACCCATGTCTCAGCTCAGTGCAGCCAGTATTGGGGCCATTGACTCTAAGCTGGACTGGTCCCACAATTTCACCAACATGTTAGACCAGTGATAGCGAACCTTTTGAGCTCGGCGTGCCAGCATTTTGGAAAACCCTAACTTAACTCTGGTGCTGTGTCACATATAGAAATTTTTTGATATTTGCAACCATAGTAAAACAAAGGCTTATATTTTTGATATTTATTTTATATATTTAAATGCCATTTAACAAAGAAAAATCAAACACAAGAATGAGTTCGCGTGTCACCTCTGACACGTGTGTCACAGGTTCGCCATCACTGGGTTAGGCTATACCGATGCTCAGTTTACTGAGCTCATGCACTTGTACCTCACCATCCACAGTGACCAGGAAGGTGGCAATGTAAGTGCCCATACCAGCCACTTGGTTGGCAGTGCCCTTTCCGACCCGTGCCTGTCCTTGGCAGCAGCTATGAATGGGCTGGCAGGGCCCCTACATGGACTGGCAAATCAGACAGTGCTTATCTGATTGACACATCTTCAGAAGGAGTTGGCAAAGGTGCGTCAGATGAGAAGTTACGAGACTACATCTGGAACACACTCAACTCAGGGCGGGTTGTCCAGGCTGTGGCCATGCAGCGCTGAGAAAGACTGATCCACGGTATACGTGTCAGTCAGAGTTTGCTCTGAAACACCTGCCTCATGACCCCATGTTTAAGCGGGTTGCTCAACTGTACAAGATTGTGCCCCATGTCCTCTTAGAGCAGGGCAAGGCCAAGAACCTTGGCCCGACGTGGGTGCTCACAGTGGGGTGCTGCTCCAGTGTGTGGCAGGACAGAGATGAAGCCTCCACAGCGCTGTTTGGGTGGCACGAGCATCGGATGTTACTGGCACAGCTCATCTGGAGCCGAGCCCTAGGCCTCTCTCTAGAGAGGCCAAGTCCAGGAGCACGGGTGGTCTGATGAAGTCTGTGGACTCTAAGTCAGAGTAAAACTAGAGAATTAGGTGTGGGGGGAAGACTGACTACCAGAGTAAGGGAGCTTTAAAATAAAGTATATTTTTGTTTTGTTTCAGGGGGTTTTTAAAGACTTAAGATTAAGTTGTATTGCTCTAACCGGTTTGGCTCAGTGGATAGAGTGTCAGCCTGCGAACTGAAAGGTCCCAGGTTCGATTCTGGTCAAGGGCATGTACCATGGTTACGGGCACATCCCCAGTGGGGAGTGTGCAGGAGGCAGCTGATCGATGTTTCTCTCTCATCGATGTTTCTGACTCTCTGTCCCTCTCCCTTCCTCTCTGTAAAAAGTCAATAAAATATATATTTTTTAAAAGATTAAGTTGTATCTGAGATACTGATAATCAGTTTGAGATTAAAATATAAATTAAGACTTTACAAAATGAAAAGTGACCCCTTTTTCCCTAACCAGCTCCTTTCCCCTGATGTGTTGCCCATCAGCTGCAGGATGACCAGGACTAACGCGTGTGGTGTGGGTGAGCTCTGGCCCCCACACCATCTCTGCAGTGAGAATCTGGCTCCTCTTTCCCTGGTCAGAGCTGACCTGCAGAGAACCTGCAGCTACTTGCCCTGCCCCGTCCCCCGCAGGCAGCACGCCACCACGCTGCCCCTTGTTCCATAGGAGCCATGTTGGATCGTCAGCTGTACTAGACGCTTCCTAACAAAACCTATTAGCTGGACAGGCTTGGGGTAATTTTTTTTTATGCTACCAGGTGACCATGAAGGCCAGGACCATAAAGCCCAAGGCGTTTGTTGTTTCTGTTACCCAGTGTTTGATGTTAATTTCTTTTTAAAATTATCCCATAAAAACAAAGATCTGGGAGTGTTCTGTCCTCCACTCCGTGAATACGTCCTGAGATTTTCTGTATGTGCTGCACCTCCCCCTCCCTGCCCTCCCTCCTAGAGGCCTTTCTGCGGGTTGTAGACACCGCAGACTTAGGGTCTGATACAGGGTCTTGCCCAGTCGGTGCTTAAAATGAACGCAGTGTTTTAGCCATGACCCTCTGGCCTCTTCTCCCTGTTCTAGTAGGCCGTGGGCCCCAGCATAGGGATATAGGCATGACCACCATGGTATCTTCATGGTCCTGATCCCAGAGATACCAGCACCTTCTTCTAAGCAGGAAAATGATTTGAGTTTGGACATGGTCTCCTTTGAAATATCAGGTCCTAGGGCTGAGGGCATGAAGAACAGTGAGCCTCCCTTCTCGTCCCCTGCCACAGAAAGCATCCCTTATTTACCAAGGTCCTCATCCCGCCTGCCCCTCCCTAGCAGCTCAGGGTCTAGTGCTGGTTTCAGAAGCCCCATCTGCACAGGTTTTCAGGGACTCAGATGCTCTACTGCCTTTTCTTTAAGGACTGAAACACACCCCTGTGGTGCGGTGCCCCTTCTCCCTCACAACTCCTGCCTGCGTTTGTGTAGGTCCCCAATCCCCAGCACCATGCTGTTCAGATGGACACACTGTCTATAAACCCCTGGGTAACTTGTCCAGAAATGATGCAGACTTCAGGTTGTTCTGTATAAAATGCAAAATAAGTGCAAAACAAAAAATTTGGTTTTCCTATCCCATACAGCCAAATCCAAACCTTAATGGCACAAACAGGAGGATCATATGCTGGGTCAGAACTAGACTGGCATCAAAGTAACAAGAAGGTAGTGTTGCCCTAACCGGTTTGGCTCAGTGGATAGCGTGTCAGCCTGTGGACTGAAGGGTCCCGGGTGGGATTACGGTCAAGGGCACATGCCCAGGTTGCAGGCTGTGTGCTCAGTCCCCAGTAGGGGGCTTGCAGAAGGCAACTGATCAGTGATTCTCTCTCATCATTGATGTTTCTATCTCTCTCCCTCTCCCTTCCTCTCTGAAATCAATAAAAATATATATTTCAAAAAAAAAGGTAGTATTTGCTGAGGTCATCTGTCTGGGACAGGCACAAGCACCAATTCACCTCCCTCAGGGGCCTCGAGAAACAATTCCACCCCCCTGGCTGGTGCTCGGTTGGTCGGAGCACCGTCCCGACACACCCAGGCTGTGGGTGTGAGCTCCGGGGAGAACACATGCAAGAGGCAGCCAATGGTGCATAAATAAGTGGAACAACAAATCGATGCTTCTCTCTCTCTCCTCCTTCTTCTCTCTCTCTCTCTCAAATTAGAAAAAGAGTTCATTAAGTCAGCTATATAAAGTGTGAAATGTAACTTTAAAATTATGTAAAACACACCAATTTTTTCCTGAAATAAAAAAAATGTAACATGTCAAATTCAAAAAAGAAAGAAAGAAAGAAAGAAAGAAAAACCAAGTCCATCAACATGACCCGGTCCACACAGCCCACTGCATCTGTGAGGCCCTCCCCCATCTCCTCAAATGCTTCCACAGAATCAAGCGCATTTCCTCTATGACAGTGGTTCTCAACCGTGGCTGCACATTAGAATCACCTGGGAATCTTCTTAAAATCCTGATTTCCGGGCCTCATCCTCTGGAAATTCTGTTTCTTTATTACTAATGTGTGGCCCCACCCCATAACAAAGAAACAGACTTTCCAGAGGATGAGGCCCAGAAATCAGGATTGTAAAAAGATTCCCAGGTGATTCTAATGTGCAGCCAAGGTTGAGAACCACTGTTCTAGGAGGTGCTCTGTTCAGGACTTTCATCAGCTTCAAACCTCAGCTCCCTCAGGCAGTTCCCACCCTGAGGGTACCCACCAGACACTACGTGCCAGGCCTATGGGGCTTGCCCTCACCATCCGCCACGAACAATGCCCCCAGCTTTCCCTGTTCGGTCATATTCTAACACCAGGGAGCTCTTTCTTACTCGCTGTCCGCCTGATGCTACAGTATAGACAGAATCAGAGCAAGAGCCAGAAGCCAGGTGTCTTGTCACTATTTACATAACTAAGCTGGTCGCTTCCTTTAGGCCATATTTCCCCCATTGCGGGAAAAGGGAGAAAGAATGAAAGAGAGGATTTTGAAATGTTTAGGAAGCAACAATCATAAACTCCCCTTGCACTTCGCCCAAGTCCATGCACTTCCACCCTCTCCATGGAAATGTCCTCAAAAACCACTAGCACCCTCCCAAGGGAGCCCCAAGTTCACCCCTCACCCCCACTAATTCCTGAGTTTTAAAGAAGAGCTGTGGTCACCCACTTTCTTTGTGCATGAGTCCCCGTTCAGGGACAGGCGGAGCAGAGGACCCTGGTAACGGGCCACCTCCAGCTTCGGGTTCCTTCCAGGGGTTCTAAGCAGGAAGGAGACAGTCTCCCCTGCGGACTTAGCACTGAGGAGAGAGACGGTACCTGCTCAATGTGTCCCCAGCGTCCTGTAAGAGAAAGGGAAAAGGACAGCCATGAGAAGTCACTCAAACCCCAATGTTCTCTCACAGAAGTTCGCTGAAGACCCAACCAGAGGCCAGCCCATCTGGAGAATCCGGGGAGACAGGCACACGCTCAGCCGGGAGCCGGGCGGCCGGAGGAGCTGGGAATACTCCCCTGGCCACACAGCTTCCCCTTGCGGCAGCATTGCCCACAGACCTCGGGTGCCATACGCACTACCCCACGCTCCCCACTCTTCACCACAAATGTGCAGCTTGCTTCCTTTTAAAATAATTTAAAATATTCAGAAAAGCTGCCAGTACAGAGCTCCTGTCTACTCTTTACCAGACTTACCAGGTTGTTACAAACATATTCATCCTTTGGACCATTTGAGAGGCCACTGTGTCCATTACACCCTTTGACCCTTTATCCTTCCTGTGTGCATTTCCTCGGTGCATGTTCTTCTATAACCCCCGGATGGTTATCACATGCAGGAAACTGAACAGGGAGGTTTGTCTAACCCACAGTCCACATCTACTGTAACCAACTGTCTTAATGATATTCTTACAGCTACTCCTCCCCCTCAGTAATCCAGGGTCCTCCACTGCATGCAGTTATGATGACATGTGTCTTCAATATGGAATAGTTCCTTAGCTTTGATTTACCTTCCAAGACATCGACACTGGTTTATTTTATATACTAGAGGCCCAGTGCACAAAATTCGTGCATGGGAGGGGGGGGTCCCCCTCAGCCCAACCTGCACCCTCTCCAATCCGGGACCCCCTCGGGGGATATCCTCAGGATCAGGCGTAAACCAGCAGTTGGACATCCCTCTCACAATCTGAGACCGCTGGCTCCTAACTGCTCACCTGCCTGCCCCTAGTGGCCCCCCTGCCAGCCTGATCACCCCTAACCACCTCTGCCTGCCAGCCTGGTCATCCCCAACTGCCCCCGCCCCCGCCAGCCTGGTTGCCCCTAACTGCTCCCACCCCACCAGCCTGGTCACCCCTTACTGTACCCCCCCCCGGCTGGCCTGGTCACCCCTAACTGCCCCCCTGCCAGCCTGGTTGCCCCTCACTGCCCCCCTCTGCTGGCCTGGTCGCCCTTAACTACACGCCCCTGCCGGCCTGGTCGCCCCAACTGTCCCCCTGCTGGACTGGTCGCCCCTCACTACCCCCCCTGCCGACCTGGTTGCCCCATGCAGCCTGCTGGTTGGTTGTTTGGTCACCCCTCACTACCCCACTACCGGCCTGGTCTCCCCACACAGCCTGCTGTTCAGTCATTTGATCATCACTCACTAACCCCCCTGCCAGCCTGGTCACCCCACACAGCCTGCTGTTCAGTCGTTTGGTCGCCCCTCACTGACCCCCCCCTGCCGGCCTGGTCGCCCCATGCAGCCTGTTTGGTCGTCCATTCAGTTGCAACGGCCCCTGGCTCTTTATATATACAGACTAGGTGTACCGGTTAATAACGCGGACTTTGTAATCAAAGAGAACACAATAATTTCAAGAGAAACATCAAAAGTGCTTTATTCAAAGTAATGTCCGTTGATAGCTCCACATTTCCCCCATCTTTCACATAATTTGTGGAGACCGTCCCAATAGAATTTTTCTTGTTCTGAGGCAAACCATTCAGAGACCCAATTTTCCACTTGGTACGTTTTGAAGTGCTGCTCACAAAGTGCGTGTGCCATCGATCAGAACAAGTGGTCATCTGAGGAGCAAGGTCTGGTGAATACGGCGGGTGGGTTCATACTTCCCAGGCAAGATCTTTTAACGTGTTATTAACTGTTTTTGAAGTGTGTGATGGTGCGTCATCATGAAGCAAAATTACTTTGCTGTGTCTTCTGGCACATTCTGGTCATTTCACGATCAAAGTGTGATTTAAATTGATAATTTGTTGTCGGTAGTGATCAGTGTTGATGGTTTCACCTGGTTTTAGAAGCTCATAATACACCACACCTTCCTGATCCCACCAAACGCAGAGCATTGTCTTCTTTCCGCAGCAATTTGGCCTTGCAGTCCATGTTGATGGTTGACCTGGATCAACTCATGATTTTGTGCATTTGGGATTCTCAAAATAAATCCACTTTTCATCGCCAGTGAGAATTCGATGCAAAAAACACTTTCTTTCATGCCATTGAAGCAACATTTTACTGATGATTTTTGGGTTTTCCATTTGTCTTTCAGTCAGATGATGTGGCACCCATTTCCCTCCCTTTAAAATCTTTCCCATTGCTTGTAAACGATCGGAAATCGTTTGCTGAGCAACGTTTAATCTTTCTGCAAGTTGTTTTTGAGTTTGACACGCATCTTCATCCAATAATGCTTGTAATTGTTAGTCTTCAAACTTTTTTGGTTGACCTGGACGTTCTTTGTCTTTCACATAGAAATCATCACGTTTAAAGCATTTACACCAGTGTTCACAAGCATCTTGAGATGGAGCATGTTCACCATAATCTTCCCGAAGTATACAACTTTTAGCAGCACTTTTCTTCAAAATAAAGTAATGAATTAAAACTTCCTGCAAATGCTCTTTTTTTGGCACGAAATTTGCCATTTTTAAGGGTAAAAATATCTATGATGTTAACACCTTCAGAAAATTTGATATATGAAGTTTTGAAGCTTGCTGTCAATACAGCAAAATAGCATACACATCAAATCGCATATATATCAACTATGTGTAACTCCATCTATTGAAAAAAATCCTCATTATTAACCAGTACACTTAGTAATGTCCTTCCCTTTGGGTTTGTCAGATATTCCCTCATGATTAAATTCAGGCTGTACAACCTGGGACTAATGTATATTGTGTACTAAAGTTGCATAATATTTGATTGCCCCTCACTAGTGATATTTTCATCACTATATAGCTACTATTTTTTCTGGTGTAATTAATAAGTAACCAAAAATCCCTGGCTGGACTGCACAGTGGTTAGAGTGTTGGACCATGGACTGATTCCTGGTCGAAGGCACCTATCTCAGTTACAGGTTTGATCCCCAAACCCAGTGGGGGTGAGCGTGGGAGGCAACCAATGTGTTTCTCTCACGGCGACATTTCTCTCTTGCTCTCTTCCCCTCCTACCTCCCTTCCACTCTCTGAAAAAAAACTCAATGAAAAAAAAAATACCCTCTGATGAGAATTAAAAAAATAAACAAGTAAATAAATGTACTTTGAAATTATGTTAATAATTTGATTATTATTAAACTTTCCCTCCTTTGATTTAGCATCCATCAATCATTATGGTCTGAGATTAAATGGCTGTGGAATACAAGGATGCTACACAGACACGCTCCGAGGACCAAACTGAAATTACAACTAAAATACAAAAAACACCATCCTGAATAATTAACTGACGAAGGAAGGAGAGTAGCGATGGCATCGAGACTGGTAGGAGGGGTGAGGTGAGAAAGGGCTGGCCAGACTCCCACAGATGGCAACTGAAGTTCCAGAAAGGTATCTGTGGGGGTTCCCACTGAGAACTCTGGGATCTAAACTCCAAACAAGAGCCCCCAGCCCAGAGCACAAGAACTGAGAAAGATGCCCATATAACATCTGGCTGTGAAAAGCAGTGGGGGTGCTGTCTGCCAGGGAGAGATGGCTGGAAATCAGACACCCTCTTAAAGGGCCAAGGCACAAAATTCCCCCATGGAGCCACCCACCTTGTGCTTCGGCAGAGGGAGGGCAGAGAGGACTGGAGCTGTGTGAGGACTGGGGCTCTGGGGTTAGAGCTTGCAAGACACCTGGTTTCCTGTGCTGAGTTATTCCCTCACATTGCGGAGGTCATCTTTCTCACAAAGACATTGCTTTCCAGGCAGGGATTTCCAGGAAGGAAGACAGTTGACCCATCCCATTGGAAAACACCCTGCCCCATGGTGTGGAGTTTCTGAGGCACATTAAGACACTGAGAATAACAAATAGCCTCCAGGCAGAAGCCATTGCCCCATCCAGTTGGAGAACCTCTCACCCCACCTATGGACAATTGCCTGAGGCCACTCAAGACCGAATCTTGACACTCAGGGAGCAGACTCAGTGAGCACCAAAGCCCCATTGAAGCAAGTCTTGCCCCGGAGGGGTGTCTCCAGCACAGAAGTTCTCCCACTGCAGACACAGCTGATTCTCACAGCCAATTGGCCTGGAGGTCAATTCCTCCCAGTGATACCTACAACAATTAAGGCTTAATTACAACAAGACTATGCACAAAGCCCACAAGGGGGTGCACCAAGAGTGTCTGCCTCAGGTAACTGGGACACTTAGCACAGAAAGGCACTCTATCGACACAACGAAGCATAAAAAACGCCGAGACAAAGAAACAGGACACAAATGACAGAAATGGAGGAAAGCAAACTGCTGGATATAGAGTTTAAAACCACACTTTTAAGGTCTTTAAAGAACTGTCAAGAAGCCGCCGATAAACTTAGTAAGGCCCTCGAAAAGACTGGTGAGACCGCCGATAAATGTAGTGAGATCTTCAAGAAATCTAGTGAGACCCTCGATGTTGTGATAAAGAACCAACTAGAAATTAAGCATACACTGACTGAAAGAAAGAATATTATACAGACTCCCAACAGCAGACCAGAGGAGCGCAAGAATCAAGTCAAAGATTTGAAATACGAAGAAGCAAAAAACACCCAACCGGAAAAGCAAAATGAAAAAAGAATCCAAAAATATGAAGATAGTGTAAGGAGCCTCTGGGACAGCTTCAAGCGTACCAACATCAGAATTATAGGGGTGCCAGAAGAAGAGAGAGAGCAAGATATTGAAAACCTATTTGAAGAAATAATGACAGAAAACTTCCCCTACCTGGTGAAAGAAATAGACTTACAAGTCCAGGAAGCACACAGAACCCCAAACAAAAGGAATCCAAAGAGGACCACACCAAGACACATCATAATTAAAATGCCAAGAGCAAAAGACAAAGAGAGAATCCTAAAAGCAGCAAGAGAAAGATAGTCAGTTACCTACAAGGGAGTACCCATATGACTGTCAGCTGATTTCTCAACAGAAA